TACAATTATTATATATTACTATATATTACTATGATTATTATGTATTGAAATGATATTACAGAAGAAAAAATATATATTTAATATAAAATATTTCATAACATTGTTATGTTATGATATATATTTTATTAAATATAAAAAATCTGAAATATCATTACAATAAATTACTAATATATATATATACTTTTTTTCCAACATGATGTTCAATACAGGGGCCAGAAAAATCCCATTAATATTCAATAGCAGTAGAATAAGAATTACATTGCACACTTTAGAATTTACACTCACATTCTTGACCTCAATCCATTAACTGACGCTCTGATTTAACACCACATTACCATTAATTAACGGCCGGAGAGGTTTCATAATCAATAAGACCGTTGTCCCTCTTAATTAATTAATCAGCATCTTTCAGTTCCCCACCAACCAATCAACAGCGGTTTATTGCCAGTATGAAGCGTGAAAAGGTCAAGTGAGTCAAAACATGAGCAGATGTGTCTTTTAATGAGAGATAAAGTCATGTAAAATGCCATATTCTTTCTGACCAGTCCAGTTTATTTTTGTTATTTAATATTTTGGAGTTTATTTTTTGGCCTAAAAAGAATTTCAGTTAGGCTTTCTTCAACACGAATGACAAAGATTTCTCCATCTATCTCAATCTAAAGCCATTAACACAGCCACACAAACACAGCAACATACACACACACAGAGTGAGAAAACATGAAACAGATAATGCTTTAGTAAAGATAAGACCCTCTTAGCGGGAGATCTTTCTGAGAGATTAAAGGAACAAGAATTTGCTCTAAATGCTTTTACTTCAATCTGCCGAGAGCCAATCGGGACCAGCATAATTAATACTGCTCTTAACAGGAAAAATGCCTATTTTTTCATTCTTCCCCAGTGTGAAATTACTAAATCTATCCTTTCTCAGTGTCACGCTGACTGTATTTTGTTATCTAGCCATGCTCTCCTTATATTTACAGAAATGTCTTAATCCACATGACCACAAATATACAAAAAGCCATTGTTTTTTAAAGCCAGAGCTCAATGTGCTACATAGTTCCTGCTTTTCTGTACAAAAGGAGTATATACACAGATGTGGAAATACACAAAAAGCCCTTTTCCCAAATGTCTACACTGCTGTACTAACTAAAGCTTTATGCTAACAGGCTTACTGAATTCTGGCACAAATCTGGGAGTATTCACTGACCTAAATAAAAACATAAAAAAAAAACATTAATGTTAATGTAGAGTTAAAACGTAGTTTTCAGGGTTATGAGGTGAAGTTCTGCTGCATGGGGTGTAAAAACACTGATAAACTAAGACCTGAAGAGCGTGCGATTGTTTCTCCATCACCTCTGATGGTCAGCGTGAGGTAAGAGGTGTAAAGTCTCCGTGGTGGTTTGGAACGAAGCCTAAAATGAAAAGGCATGTGTGTATTATGGTTTTGCACCCTCTCTGTGTTCAGTGCCAAACCAGAAAGCACTTGGAAAGCCCGGCCTTTTGTGGAACCCAACAGGTCTAGTGTGTCAAAGCCAGAGCAATAGCAACAAGGCAGATTTCCACTACGCCTGCTAACCGCAAATGAAAGTATGTTAGAGGATATGGAAAGCTGTGAAGGACAGATCCAGGAGAAGCAATTTGCCCCTAAGTGGAGAGCAGAAAAGCTCTAGATTAATTGGTCTATCTGAGATCATCAGAGCTTGAAAACATCCTCCAGCAAGGTGAGTCCACCATAATGAAATCTTAATTTAGTCAAACAAAATGATGGTTTATGCTGGTTTGGAGCTGGTATAGCCAAGCTATTAATCAATTACACTCATTTTCTATTAATTTATTCAAAACATTAAAAATGCAATACATGCCATGATTACACCTCTTTTATGATGAACATGTCTCGAATATATAAAAACATTAAAAACATTTCTTCACTTTTTATTAATATTTGAAAAACTTTTGTCCACCAAAATCAAAGTTATGAATTTTACATTGAGAACAAAATGTCAACACAAATTATTGATGGGAGAGGAAAATAATCGATGTAAAACAGAACATACTGAGATCGTACCTTTGCTCATGAGCAGAAGACAGAAAAGTGGAACATCTCAGAGAGATTTCAGATGGCTTCCTTATCAAATATTTACATTGGTGTGATTGGTGTCCCCTTGACTCAAGATAATCAATAGCTTTTATATATGATACCTTCAGACAAAAAGATAGAAAGAGCAGCACCATCATGGGAATTAAGTAAGAGAAAGCAAGTGAGAGAAAAATGAACAGTGGAGCGCTTGTATTTTATTTATTTTTCTTCCTGTGAGGAGGAGGATGAGAGACATGTTTGGAGAGTGTGTTTAATGCCTGGTC